GGATTATGTATCTAATAATAAAATCATAGGAAATGTGCCACTTGTTTGCCATCATTTTTTAAAATATTCCCTCCAGTGTATAAAAGTTGCCTATTTAATTGCTTTCTGGGTTTTTTGGAGCGGATCTCCGACGTTGAAAACAATGTGTCATATGCATCGCAGATACAAGCCGTTGACGGCTCGCAAAATCGTTGAATTTATCAGGCTTACACGGCGGACAAGGGCACTCGAATGATGGATGAAGGCGGGCTTGCTAATGGAGAAAGCAAAATAAATTAGTTGTGGTTCATTCGGCAGCACTTGAACTATGCCCCGCCGCACTTATCTCATTAATTGTCCTTTTCGCTCTTCGAAATTCTTAGCTGCTCGGCCGGAAAATGTGCCACGCGCAAGATGCTTCGACATTTTCCAGCATGATGGCGTTATTAATTTTCTCAATAGGAGCAGACAGCGGGAATGGCAACGGCTTCATACTCGTACATGTTTTCGCATGGCTCGATTATTGAAAAATTCTTTAGCCATCACGCCGAGAATGGCGAACTGACAACACGGCCGAGAAAAACATCAGCGGCAGCAGCGGAAAAACAGGAGCCCCCGTCACTCGAAGGACCTGCAGGCTGCACTTTCTGTCGTCGAATGCCATTCAAGGAGCAGAGCAGAGCCGAGCAGTCGGAAAAACATGAAAGCATGCCATCGAGGAGCGGCCCATGGAGATGCTGGAAATAGGGGGAAAATTATAGCAGAGGTAGCTCCATTCAAAAACAAGAAAAACAGGTCAGCTTCAGAGAACGGAATAAGGTTTCATTTGACGCCTTTTAAAGGAAAATGTGGAAAAAGGTAAGAAAAAAATTTCAATAGGAATTGTTTGCAGGAAACATCGAAATATGATACTGTTTAATTTCCAAACTCATTCTTTTTCAAGTCAAACTGATATTTGTATATCATATATAAATGTACTAAATGTATAAAGAGAGATTTTAAATTGTATTACGCCATTTTTATAGCCTTGCAGAGGGTATTATTATTAAAGTGAAGTATGGATATCCTTGATCACAGTCTAAATCGAACTAAATATGTACATTCGTCCGTCTAATTGTTTCTATGTAAACTAAGTCCATAACTTTTCTTATATTAATAACGTATTAAAGTGGCATGTTTTCTTGTTTATCTGCGTTTCAGTTTTATATTATATGTGTAAGATAAATGCATCTTTTTAAAAAGTTTTTATAACAAACTTACGCATTTATTTATAAGGACCATAAAAAAGTAAAATAAAATATGCCAAGTCCTTGCCGTTTAACAAGGCATACTTTCGTTGGAAACCAACATTTGTGATTTGTTTTATGGTATGACACATTAGCGAAATTGCGCTAAATAATTTTCGGGGCTATAAATTTAATGATGCATTAAGCGCGAAGTTCTTAAGGCGTCGCATCCTGCCGAGCATCCCGCATCCTCCCATTTTCACGTCCTCGTGGGCGTCGTTCCCCAGAACCTCTCGCCCGTTCATTTGCAATCATTTGGCGGGTCGTGACTCCAGTTTTTTTTTTATTTTTTGCCAAACCGGAAGTTCCCGGCCGCTTGCCAACTTCCGTCGAGGCTGCGACGCGTCGTTGGGAATTTTAACATTTCAACTTGGCACATTTGCCGAATTATTCAAATTCTTGTCATTGCAGCAAACGAATAAAAAAAGAGAAAAGTCAAAGGAAGCGACCCCCAAACAAAAAACGAATGAAACGAACGAAATAAACTAAAAGGCAAAGAAAAAGGAAAGAGTCGCGCTTCTGGCTGCTTTGTGGAATTGGCAAAGATTTATGCCAGACTGACTCTGTGTGTATATCTGTATGTACATATATAAAAATGTTACGTAAGAAGGCCTTTCGGTAACTGGCAACCGAGTTAAGAGCGCAAATAAAATGTTTGCTCACATTTTTGTAATTTTGGAAAAATTGCTCGTTTATTGTCGGGGCATGTTTTTCGCAGGATTCCCGTTTAAATTCAAAGCTGGGAAAACCAGGCTCAAAAGGGAGGAGGAGGGAAAGGGGGAAGGGCAGGTGGTGAAGGTAAGGACGACAAGTGTCGCATTGTTTTATGTTTGTCGAGTGTGCTCCTTTATTCTAGGCGCCTTTCGCCTCGCTCTGAATAATTAATATTGCGCATACGACGTGTTGCTGCGACTGCCAGTCAGCAAAATCCTGGCCAACGAATGCCGCTCACTTTATTATGCTAATCAGCGCTGACTCTGTGCATATGCAAATTGCAATATCTGCCAGCGAACTCCAAACTTCAAGTCATTAGCCAGCGTGGAAATACCCGAGCGTTTTCATGTCTGAAGCTGAGCATAAATTATGATTACTCCACGCCACATAAATCAAACTGATGTAAGGCAAACTCCCAAGATTTACGATAAGAACAATAATAATAACAACTGTGACCAAGTCAGCTAATTTGTCAAATGCCGAGCGCCGAGTTACGGAATTTAGCCACTCAATCGGTGAAACAACATTACCAAGCCGTGAATTACTAAGAAGGCAATCAAACCAATTTGTCAAACAGTCAAATTGGTGTGTTCGTTGGAAATTCAACAGAATTTGAACTTTTGCTTGCCTAGCTCCCTTCAAAAGTTTGTTATTTAGTAATGAAAGTTGCAGTTTCCCTTCGATTTTCGACTGTTGGATCTTATCAATACATACTTTGTATGGAAATAATTTGGCAATTCATATTTATTCATTCGATTTCGTATCTGTTATCTGATAACAAATAGCCTATTGTTATTTTGTGTAAGGTTAACTCAGTATTTAATTGATGAACAATTATGACAATGAAACCAACTTTTCATATTTTTGTAACTCATTAAACTCAAATTCTTGTAATGTCTACATCTTACTTTAATGTATGTAATCCCTGAAAACAATTCGCTAAAATGCTTAAAGGCAAGCCTTTATTGAATACTCGATAAGATTATTGTTATGTGCAACAATTAAATCAGGGCCACAGTGGCTGCCCATTGACCTCTGGGGCAAATGTGTTCGGTGCCCATTAGCTGGAAAGCCTTTTAAAGCCGGAGTCGGAGGGCAGAATTCAGGACTCAGAACTCAGGACTCCTGTTGCTCGGCAGGATGCGGATGTAGTGGTGTTGCCTCTCCAGCCGGACACTGTACTCCGGACTTGGCTGCGGTTCAAGAAACTCACAAGTGACACTTGCTCGAAAGATAAATGCGAACGTAACTTTCGCCATCAAATGTTGCCAATCTACGGCGGACTCCGAACTCCAAACTCCGTCCGTCCTTCGTTCATTCGATGGCTGGTTGGTTGCACTGCAATTTGGAAGAGTTACCTTCGACCGTTCGCCACTCGAGCGAACTGAGCACCCGGACATCATTGGCATCGCAGCAGCAGTGGTGGTGAACTGGAAGTGGGGAGTGTGGAGTGTGGACCATTTCACGGGCCGGGGTGCCACATTTACTTACTGATTTATGGTCGCTTCCCTACTCCGGGCTTTATCTGTTGAGTTTTCGGCGTAATCATTTCAAGTCAAAATGTTTTCAAAAGGCGACGGCAACCGGTCGACCCGGCGAGCACTCAGTCAGTCAGGAACAGGAGGAGGAGCAGGGATAGGAGTCGGAGCCGGAGGTGGACGCCACTCCAATCCGGGAATGGCCCGTTGATAAATGACAGCAAGTTTATCTCCACATTTGCCCATAAATTCCGCACTACAAAACGGCCGTCCTTCGACAGGAGGCGGTGGTCCCTCCGGTTCCGGCCTTTAAGTTATGTTTAGTGCCAAAGGATTGCAGTTTAGCATATCGAAGTTGGGAGAGACAAGGAGGAGCTGAACCGGACAGGAAACGCCTCATATGTCAGCTTTGTTGGGAAATTGCTCTTGAATTTATGGACACAGGAATTTGCAAATGAATACCTTACGATGTGTGAACTCAGCCCGGCGTGGATATTTTAAAGAGAAATATTAATAAATAGATGGGGCATAAAGTTTTTCCTCAGTTTACCCTTCCACTCGGGTTAATGTTATTTGAAGATATGAGTAAAACAAGCATTGATCGCTTTGAGAGGAGCCCCAGCCCCCGAGCCAAAAAACAATGTCCGCAGCCAGCTGAAAAATTGCATTTGCATTTGCTAAATAATTTACCACATATGCTGTGCCTCGGGGCACCAGTAAATTGAAGACAAATGGACTCCGACCCGTCGCTGCAAAGAATTTTATTTTCATATTGTTGTTTTTATGGCTTGTCCCCACCCGAGGCACTTGCAAAGTTTCCAGCAGCTCGAAAGGCCCACTGGGCAAATGTTTCAAAACAAACACAGAACACAAAACCCGAGAACCCAGAATCGTTCAACTAATGATTGGAGCCCAGTGTGGTGTGGGTTTTCCCCACTGGGGAAAGTGACTGGCCTGCGTTTTCCGCCTGCTGAACGCGTTGACGAGCTGTTAATTAATATTAAACTCATTTCCACATTCTGGCATTGAAATGCCAGAAGCAACAGAGTCGGCTGGGCGGTTCTCCTCCCACATTCAGGTCGCGTTTCATTGAATGTGTGTGTAATTATTTCACGGCAACAGCTCCTATTTCGAGCTGTCCCAAACTGCACTAAGTCCCTTTCGCCCACACATACGTGTCCTGGCTTACTTAATGAGAAAGCCGTAAATTCTCGCCCACTAGCAGTTTGGGAGGCACATAATTCAGGCAAACACTGTGTGTTTGCCATTTAAATTTAAGCGAGTTAAGTACGCCGGTGATCCTGTTTGCTTGCTCATTTCACACATTACGCATACGCCCTGTCTGGCAGCATGTCCTTAATTACAATTGATACTGATTGCCAGGCAGATCACGCAGTCGGAGAGCGCAAAACTAATTAAAATGTTTATCGACTTTGTAATTGTCACACCCTAATTGTGGCAGTACGTGATTGTGGCACTGCCAGTAAACCAAATAAAAATGGATTCAATTTGAAAAAAAGCTCTTTGTTATGCAGATAAACTCGTTTTTTATTCGTTGACATCCAGGAGAAGGCTAATCAGTTCGAAGGGCGACTTCTTGCACCTAGTGGCATACTTCGCCTGGCAGTCGCCTCCTTTTCTGCCAAAGTGCTCTGATGTTTGGTACTCTCGATCCGAATCCTGTCCCAGTTTATCCACCGAACTGGAGGGCGTGAGAACTATGTCCATTATTTCACCCAGCAAACCACTTTCGTGGTTCAGCGGTAGAGCAGCATGTTCACAGATCAATCTGAGAAGACAACTTCTTCCGGGCAAACCCATATTCTCGATGACCATCTCGATTCCCCGGTAGATAATCCAGCGGTATAGAGATCCATACGGCGATTCCTTATCCCTCCCTGTAATTGCCTGGGGCTTGAGGTACACCCTCGTTATCTCCGTGGAGTTGGTGGGCAGAAAGTACTCCGCCTTGAGCACATAACCCGAGGTAACCGATTCGAAGTGCAGATTCTCCACGGGAATACCAATGCCACCGATGAACTGAACACGCGTGGGACTCGTGGGTGGAAATATAAGTGATCTGCTCAAACGTTTCAGGTGACCCTCGCCGGAGCAAAAGTGCAACCAACTGAGGCACAAGAAACCAAAGAACACTTTAACGATATCCAATCTCATTTTGCTTCCGTTCGGTTCGAGAATTACTTGAGAACTGAGCCATGGCTTTTCACACCTGATTCTCACTCACTTTCTTCTGGCGGCGGCTTGCGCTTTCCACTTGTTTGTCTTGGCCAAAGAGGCTTTTAAGGCCCGAATCCAGTGCAATTAGCACTTCGGTGGCAACTCGCTGGTCTAGTTAAAGCAATTTCACTAACGACCATGAAACAGTCGGCGCCAAAGGGCAACCTTTAGAATATTTTACATAAAGATCGTGAATACCAAATTAAAATAAAAAATATTGGACAGATATAACAGGTGGGTAGAATATATAAAAATCATTTAGCCAGCAGGTTGAAAGGTTTTTTCCATCCCCTCATTTGTTTGGTATATTGTAATATATTATACTAGAGGTCCTGTGTCCGCTTCGCTGGTCAACACAATTTAACAACATAAAAGTCAATGTTGCAACATTTTTTAAATATATGGAAGTATAGAAAGATGGTTATTTAACACTTTTCCAGTTTGACTTTTCCACTTGCGCAGCACAATCCAGCCGTTTCTCTTTTAAACATTAACGCACTGCAATATCGGTATATAGTCGCCATTGGTCCAATATCTAAATTTTCATTATCACTGTAGTTCGCAGTGGGGTCATATTGGAATGCCAAGCGATTGAATGATGCTAATGATCTCCATGTGCTTATTTGTCTTACTTCGCTTAAGTTTTGTGAATATACTTGTTGGTGGCTTGGATGTCTGCGGCCAATGTTTGCACGTCGTCCTTTAAGCATTTTGGACTATGGACAGAGTGGTGAATTTATCCTCAAATGCACGATCCACATAATTTTCACAGTTCAACTTAAATTGAATAAAAATTCTTTTTTTTTCACAATTTCACAGTGAACACAAAAATTGAGTTAAAATGCTATGGGAGCGTGTTTGTCAGTGTGATGAGGTAGCAACTCACTTTATATGCGACAATATTGCAATTTTCTTACGGATCCCTAGTTTTTTTCAAAATAAATTATAGCCTATTTAACTCCACGATAATATAGCTTTCTATCGGTGAAAGAATTTTTTAAATCGGACCAGTAGTTCCGGAGCCTATTCCCTGCAAACAAACAAACAAACAAACAAACAAACAAACAAACAAATTTTACCTCTTTATAATATTAGTATAGATTGTAGTATATCACAGTTGAACTTGTTTTTAATACATTTGAAAATCATTCACTAGCAACTGTTTAAAAGGAGTGTAGTATCTCTTTCAGCACACAAGCTTGCAGGAATAGAAGCAGCTCAAACGAAATGGGAATCGTATTCTGTAAACATTTACTCCATTCATACGACTTCGACTTACAATCTCCTTACAGTCCAGAGTAATCCACCTAGTTTAAGCAACCTCACAGGCACTAAAGTAACGCAAGTGAAGTGCACAATTGCATGGACCAGGGACCAGGAAACTGGGGGAGAAAGGATTGCGAAATGCGTACGAGGATTGCCGGGGAATGTGTGAGCATTGGCATTAAGACAGTAAACGGAGTGGCGGGATGATTGGGTCCTCAGTCGGAATGCGGAGCGGAAGTTATGCCCTCAACGACTCGAGTAAGTTAAGTGAATTGCCGTTGCAACGGGCGCTGCAAAGGAAAAGCAGCGGAAAATGCGGGATGAGCTCTGAAAAGGCGTAGCCCGGAACGTTTGAGTAGAAAAAATAAGAGTAAAATAAAGCAAAACTGGTTCCCAGGATACGAATCCCCTCGGGTGACGACACTGACCTGGACAGGAAAACGAGAAAAGCTACGATACAGAAAGAGAGATTAGAGAAATGCGAGAATGAGCACGAAAAGTACAAGAAAATTCCCACTTCGCAGGAAAAGGGAAAAGGAAAACGCACAAAAAGCACAGAAGTCAGAGGAAAAAACTGGTTGATTCTCATTCCTCCTCTGTCTAGACAATGTATTTCTTGCAGAGCTATTTATTAAATGGACGATTAAATTTGCGAATGGCATTGCACCGCAGATACGAAATATTGCAAAACATGGTAGTTTGTCTTTTCAAAGGAGCTCCAACCTGTGGAATACCTATATGCCAGTAACTTAAAAAAGGGCTTAATAAAATAGAAAGCATATAAGAACATAGCTGCATTTTATTCCTGTGTTTATTCCACTCTAAAATAATTACCCATGTTTATGTCGCTTTGAAATAACATGCCATTAAGTATGCCAAACTAAATCAAAACAAAATCCATTTCCATGTTATTTATATTATATGCTTTGCTAAAAGTTCATTTATTCACAGTATTTATGGCGCTTGACCCAATAATTAATATGTCAAAACGTTATTTCTATCTCTATTCGAACTTCATTAGGATGGCATAATTATTTATTTTGATTTATATTACTCATTAGTTCCGCTTTGAAGCCTGTGCTTCGTGCAGCAATTTAAATGGGATACGTAATACGCATTTGAATGCCACTTTAAGTAGATTTAAAAAAGTACTTTGGAAAGGAGCAATTTATTTTTGCATTGCCGAAACTGGAGCACCGCGAAGGCAATAAAAAGTTGGACAATGCGGTGCGGCAGCGTGGAACAAGAACCGCAGCGGAGGCCACGAAACTTTCACCTGCAGCACTTTATGTGCATCGTTACCTGCGGCAGAAGTGAACTTCGGTTCAACGGGAGAGTATGCAAATTGCTAGTAAAAGTTGCCATTTGAATGGTCCCGAAGGCGACTCGTTATCGATTCCCGGGCGAGAGCAGGCCAAATCAATTATGTTGACACGCCAGCCGGCTGAAAACCATTTGCGGAGGTAAGCGAGACAGTTTAAATGCCAGAGCGTTTAGGCGACGGGCGCACGTGTCGTATGCGTAATGAGCGCTCCGAACAGAAATGCATTCATCACCGAATGGTTGGGTGCCTGAATGGGTGGTTGGGCTGTTGGGTGGTTGGGCTGAATGGGTGGTTGGGTGGTTCAGTGCTGTTTGCAAGTGTCGTCATCACATCTTGACCTCGCCAGAGCCTCGAAATTACCTCGTTAGTGCTCCACCAGGACGGCGTTAGAGCAAATCCTTTGGCAACCCGAAGAGAACTCGTCTGGCAAATGAATGTGTCTTACTTATGCTTATTTAGCTTTTGCCCCTAAAAGGAGCAGGACCTGAAGGAGCAGCTGGGGGTCGGGGGATGGGGAATGGGGGCGTGGGTAATAAGTTAAATTATTATGCAAACGACGGCTCCATGTCTTGAGCTGGGAAATGTGTGCTCCACATAAACAAAACACTCGAAATGTGTGCCGGGGACAAACAGAAGCAGAGGTCCTGAAGCCAGAACGCCCGAATGCCAGAATGCCGAGCGATGGAGCTGCTTTCCGGGAGGCAAGGCGACATAAATGTAGATTAGATTCGGAGCGGGCGGGATGCCGCTCCACTTCAATGCAAGTGCCATCATTTGGAGCACCATTCGTGAGCCTCCCACCACCACAGAGGACACCGAGTATCCCACTCTGCTCCACTCCTTTCCACACCGCTCCGTGCATCAATGCCAACCATATTATTTATGGACTTTGCACACAATAATTGGCAAGCTTTCCGCTCCAAAGCGCAATGGTCAGCAATAGGACAGTTTCGCATTGGGATCGGAAATCAGAATGGTATGGGAATTGGGTTTCCGAGGCGGGGAAAATGAGGAGAGGGCAAGGGGACACTGCTGGTTCGTTGACTGCAAGCCATTCCGAATGTTTCACTGTTCCGAGGCTATAAAAAGCATCGGTGAACAGGTGTATTTGGCAATCAGCTTGAATTGATGATTGTTGGCCAAAAAAGAGAGATATAATAAAGCCAAAAATAGATAAAAGGCAAGAGGTCGAATTTTAAAAATTGCTTTTTGGAGTTCCTATTTGCTGAATGTTTTTGTGACCCATAAACTAATTAATTAATATATGATAAATAAATCAAATTTAAATAAAACTTCCATTTAAATGAAACTTGCGAAATATGTATATTGTTTAACAAAAAATAATTTATAAATGTACTGCCATAAAAATGTTTCAACAGAAATATGACAACCATCGCTGTGTTCAAAGTGTGGAAAAATAGATGTGAATTCATTTAAAAGGCATGTCACTGACATTGATGATGTAAGTTCTTTGTTTCCTGATATCCTTGATCTTGACGAAGGACTTCACACATGCCAACCAGCTTCCGAGGCGAAATCAATTTACAAGCCAAATATTTGGCCATAACAAGGCCCTAAAACTGGCTCTAATTATGCATGGTCACCATGCAGGTCACTTGCCGAATAGCCGAATTTAAATGCAAAGCTTGATGGGTCAAAAAGGTGTCCACGTGTCCACGTGTCCCCGTGTCCGAATCTGTCTCTCTCTCAGTACGCTTGTTTGGCACGCCCGGAATATGGGTATGTATGCAAATGACCGGAACACAGCAAACATTCTAATCGGCAATTTTGTTTATGTGTGTGGGTGTAGGTGTAGGTGTGTGTGTGTCTATGTGTTTGTGCTTTTTGTTGATGTTGAGTTATCTTTGCTTGTGCTGCTGATTTCGCCATGGGAACTTTAATCCTGGGCCAAAGGATGAGCAGTCAACAGCAACCTAGACCAATAGGGGTTATTAGGCCTAACACACAAAGTATTGCTGGTTTATTTTCAGTTAAGGGCTTTGCAAGCTCAATTGTTAATGGGACAAAAATCAATATTGATTTTTCCTAGAAGAGAATATATTCGGATATGTTCTCTATTTAAAATGTCATCATAATCGGCTTTATTTGTTGACTAAATAAATCTAAATGGAAAAAGAACTCAATCATATTTACCAAACATTACAAATTATTGTTTATTTATCAAAAATAGTACAAATTAGATTGGTTTGTATTTAAAATGTCTATAGGTTGGTTGAAAAGTTTTGCCTACAAAACTTTAGAGGAACTTTTAATTCACACAATAAAGATAAGATTTTATTTTCGTTCCTTTGTCTAATTGATTTTATGTAAATTTAACTTTCCTCCGGAGCCCAGCACTTTT